GCTGGGGGCACTGGTCTATGCTGCTGGTAATTTTTGGGTCAAAAGCTGAATAGTTTGAGAACCACTGCTCTAGAGGGAAACATTGGAAAGGTCTAAAAATGTTTAGTGAAGATGTTCTGGATGATAGAACTGACTGACAACCATGTTAATATTTTTGTAGTACAAAATACACTACACGTTTTTCTTATATTTGATCAAATTCAGGTAACTTTTTATGTCGGGCAGGTAACACTTGTCATTACCTGCGCCTCACCACCTGGTCCTCAAGAAACAACGAGTCCCATGCCTGGTTCCACCTCGAGCTGCACCACCGCATTTAGCAACATAGCACTCCTCCTCCGTGCTTCTCCTTCATTGTTTAAAAAGAATTGCCTCATTGTTCTGACTTAAAACACACTAAAACTGGCTAAAAGAGAGGAGTAAACACTCAAAACTACACACTAACTATAAAATCCAAACATGTTAAAAGTCACAGATCTAATAAAGTCCTGCTCTCACCGGCTCTTCATTGCCGCCAATCTCCATTCAAATTTCGCCTCTTTTTATTTTCTTCTTCCTGTAGATTTTTTACTGCTTGTCAGATAACTTTGAGCTTCAGTCAAAAAGGAGGTCTGGGGGGTTATACTTTTTTCGGTTYARGAGGAAGATGAGACTGACGATGGACAGYTGTGTTTTTTTCACGAGATTACWGTGTTTYCTGCTCCCTTCAGCTGCARCACGCTTCAAAATGGAACGCTCATTTTCAGAAAAAAAAAAATAGTAAGACATGCCTTTTATCGTAACTCTGGTTTTCTTCTCTTAACCTATCGACACAATTTAAAAACCGCTGTATAGTTTGAAGTCTCTACTTTTGACACAGTTTGTAACGGAGTCTCACAATGAATTTTCCCCCCATTTAAAAAAAATGGAGGTTGAAATCATGTGACTGACATGATGCCAACTTCAAGAACAGGCGAACTGATTTTTCTCAGTCAGATTTACGGAGGGAGCTATTGCCCCCCTTTCCTCTCCCCCTTTGTGGCACCCCTGTGACGCTCCTTTTGTCTTTCCTCTCCTCCCAGAGTCGATCTTTTTATYATGTTGATTACAGATAAAACAAGTCAGCACTTCTGTCTCGTAGGTGTGAGTTTGCTGGTCCCGCCTGGCACGATCCCGCAGGGGAAGTTCTACGAGATGTACCTCATTATTAACAAGTGGGACAAAACAACGTGAGTGTCCTTCATCTTTATTCCTCCGTTTCCCTTCGCTGCCTCTGCAGCCACAGGGCAGAACAGACCTTTTCCTCACCTCAATCAGTAACGTCTCCGACGTGAGGCTTGCTGCTGTCAAACACTGTCTGAGAGTTTTTGTTGTCTTATCCCCCCACCCCCCACCCCACCCAGGTCCCAATTTTGAGTAAATTCCAAGTATTCCTGACAAATATCGCCTTTTTTAATAAACCATGTGTGATATTTTGTTGCGAATGTGTGTTGTTGATATTTGCAGGTTGCCGTCTGAGGGCAGCCAGACTGTGTTGAGTCCTGTGGTGAGCTGCGGTCCATCGGGGATGCTCCTGAACCGGCCCGTGGTCCTAACTCTGCCCCACTGCGCCCAGTTAGACACGCCCACACCAGACTGGACCCTCACACTCAAAACACAAACCCACCAGGGTGCATGGGAGGTGAGAGAGTCTTAAAGGAATATTCAGGTGGTGTTCTACTGAATCGTTATTAACAGTTTGTACCTTATCAGCTGTGTGGAGTATGGAGAAATGTTTTTGGTTATACGAGGATAACAGCTAACAAACAAGGGTCTGCTTTTATTTATTTATTATTTTAGGCTAACACTTTATAACTACACCTTATTTAGCCTTACTTAATCATTAATAAATGGTTAGTTAACCTTGAAAACATCATTAATTAAAGGTTATTCGTACATGTTGTGGAATACTTATATCTGTATCACCTTGACACTGTCCACTTTTCATATCTTGTGATATCCTCCGGACGTCATCATCGAGTTGACCTATTTCCGTGTATCAGGATGGGGCAGGTTATGATTGGTTGTTCATTCTCACACGATGTTAGATGACAATATATATATGAGGCCTCTCAAGACACAGGGTGCAACAGAGTTCGGCAGTGAACAGAGCTCAACAGTAGTGTGGAGAGACTGACAGAAAGAAGCAGAGGCACAGAGAC